GTTGACACTGGGGACACGGGGGGACACGGGGGGGACACGGGTGGGGACACGGGGGGGACAAAGGGGGACAAGGGGCGACACGGGTGGGGTCATGGGGGGGTCATGAGGGACAGATTTGGGGGGACAATGCGGGGACACGAGGCGGGACACGCCGGGGGGACACGAGGGTGACAAAGGGGGACACGCGGGGGTCTCACGGGACACCGGGGGGGACACGCGGGACACGGGTGTCACCCTCCCCGCCTCCAGGGCCACACGTGCCACCCCGGGCGCTGCTGGGGCGGCGAGGAAATGCCAGCGGTGCCAGCCCGCCCCCGCGGGATGCGGTGACAACGGGCTGGGGACACGGGGACACCGGGAGAGCCGGGACTGGGAATACCGGGGACACTGGGGATACTGGGGATACTGGGAGAGACGGAACTGGGGACACTGGGGACACTGGGAGAGCTCGAACTGGGGATACTGGGGACACTGGGGATACTGGGGATACTGGGGACACTGGGGATACTGGGGATACTGGGGATACTGGGGATACTGGGGACACTGGGGACACTGGGGACACCGGGAGAGCCGGGACTGGGGATACTGGGGACACTGGGGATACTGGGGATACTGGGAGAGCTCAAACTGGGGATACTGGGGACACTGGGGACACCGGGAGAGCCGGGACTGGGGATACCGGGAGAGCCCGGACTGGGGATACTGGGGACACTGGGGATACTGGGGATACTGGGAGAGCCGGGACTGGGGACAATGGGGACACTGGGAGAGCTCAAACTGGGGACACTGGGAGAGCCGGGACTGGGGACACTGGGAGAGCCGGGACTGGGGACAATGGGGACACTGGGGATACTGGGGATACTGGGAGAGCCGGAACTGGGGACACTGGGGACACTGGGAGAGCTCGAACTGGGGATACTGGGGACACTGGGGACACTGGGGATACTGGGAGAGCTCAAACTGGGGATACTGGGGACACGGGGACACTGGGAGAGCCGGGACTGGGAATACCGGGAGAGCCGGGACTGGGGACACTGGGGACACTGGGGATACTGGGGATACTGGGAGAGCCGGGACTGGGGACACTGGGGACACTGGGGGTCCTACCCCACCTCATACTGGGGACACTGGGGACACTGGGGGTCCTGCCCCACCTCATACTGGGGACACTGGAGCCCTGCCCCACCTCATACTGGGGACACTGGAGACTCTACCCCACCTCATACTGGTGACACTGGAGTCCTACCCCACCTCATACTGGGGACACTGGGAACACTGGGGGTCCTACCCCACCTCATACTGGGGACACTGGGGGTCCTACCCCACCTCATACTGGGGACACTGGGGACACTGGAGCCCTACCCCACCTCATACTGGGGACACTGGGGACACTGGGGGTCCTACCCCACTTCATACTGGTGCCACTGGTGACACTGGAGCCCTACCCCACCTCATACTGGGGACACTGGGGACACTGGGGGTCCTGCCCCACCTCATACTGGGGACACTGGNCCCCACCTCATACTGGGGACACTGGAGCCCTACCCCACCTCATACTGGGGACACTGGTGACACTGGAGCCCTACCCCACCTCATACTGGTGCCACTGGCGCCACCCACCGCGGTGACCCCAGCCCCACTGCAGGGCCGCGGGTGGGTGGGTGGGGTGCGGCCACCCCGTTGTCACCCAGATGCCACCTGCGCCCGGGCCAGCAGGTTCCTCTGGCACAGCCGCCGGAAGCGGCGCTGCCACCGCGATGCCACAGCGATGTCGCACCGGTGCCACCGCGATGCCACCGCGATGTCGCACCGGTGCCACACCGCTGCCACCGTCGCCGAGCGGGGCTGGCACCGTCCCCTGCCCGCCCCCAGCGCGGGGGGCGCGGCCCTGGCCGGGGTCCCGCTGTCCCCGCTGTCCCCTCGGGCCGTCCCCTTTGTCCCCTTTGTCCCCGTTGTCGCCGCTGTCCCCTCCCGGGCCGGATCCGGGCGGGAATTGCTGGGCCCTGACTCAGGCCGGGCTCAGCCGGAATTTCTGCCCCGGCCGCCCCTCCCTGGCCGGGATCGCCGGGATCGCCGGTGCCGGTCCCATAAATCCGGGAGGGACCGGCCCGGGACCGGGACAGGCACGGGACAGGCGCGGGGACGGGCATGGAGCCGCTGGAGCTGCCCCGGGTAGGGTTGGAGTGGGATTGGGATCGGGATTGGGATTGGGATCACCGGGATTGCCGGTCCCGTAAATCCGGGAGGGACAGGGACAGGCACGGGACCGGGACAGGCACGGGGACAGACACGGGACCGGGACAGGACGGGACAGGCATGGAGACAGGGATGGGAACCGGGACAGGCACGGGGACAGGCACGGGACCGGGACAGGCACGGGGACAGGCACGGGACCGGGACAGGACGGGACAGGCACGGGGACAGGGAAAGGCACGGGGACAGGCACGGGACCGGGACAGGACGGGACAGGCACGGAGACAGGGGTGGGGATCGGGACAGGCACGGGGACAGGGGTGGGGATCGGGACAGGCACGGGGACAGGCACGGGGACCGGGCTGGGACCGGGACAGGCACGGGGACAGGGACAGGCACGGGGACAGGCACGGGACCGGGACAGGCACGGTGAAAGGCACGGGGACAGGCACGGGACCGGGACGGGACCGGGACAGGCATGGGGACAGGCACGGGACCGGGACAATACCGGGACAGGAATGGGGACCGGGACAGGCACGGGGACCGGGATGAGGATCGGGACGGGACCGGGACAGGCACGGGACTGGGATGGGGACTGGGACGGGACCGGGATGGGGACCGGGACGGGACCGGGACAGGAATGGGGACAGGGATGGGGACCGGGACGGGCACCAGGACAGGGACAGGCACGGGGACAGGCACGGGACCGGGACAGGACCGGGACAGGCACGGGACTGGGATGGGGACTGGGACGGGACCGGGACGGGCACCAGGACAGGGACAGGCACGGGGACAGGGATGGAGCCACTCGAGCTGCCCTGGGTAACATCGGGATGGGATCAGGAACCGGGATTGGGATGTCCCCACGATGTCCCTGTCCCCGCAGGGTCCCCGTGATGTCCCAAGGGTGTCCCTGTGATGTCCCCAGGGTGTCCCCAGGGTGTCCCCAAGGTGTCCCCAGGGTGTCCCTGTGATGTCCCCAGGGTGTCCCTGTGATGTCCCTGTCCCCGCAGGGTTCCTGTGATGTCCCCAGGGTGTCCCTGTGATGTCCCCAGGGTGTCCCCAAGCGTCTCTGTCCCCTCAGGGTTCCTGTGATGTCCCCAGGGTGTCCCCAGGGTGTCCCCAAGTGTCGGTGTCCCCGCAGGGTTGCTGTGATGTCCCCAGGGTGTCCCCAAGGTGTCCCCAGNTGATGTCCCCAGGGTGTCCCCAGGGTGTCCCCAAGTGTCGGTGTCCCCGCAGGGTTGCTGTGATGTCCCCAGGGTGTCCCCAAGGTGTCCCCAGGGTGTCCCCAGGGTGTCCCAGTGATGTCCCCAGGGTGTCCCCAAGGTGTCCCCAGGGTGTCCCCAGGATGTCCCCAAGGTGTCCCCAAGGTGTCCCCAAGGTGTCCCCAGGGTGTCCCCAGGGTGTCCCAGTGATGTCCCCAGGGTGTCCCCAGGGTGTCCCCAGGGTGTCCCCAGGGTGTCCCCAAGTGTCGGTGTCCCCGCAGGGTTCCTGAGATGTCCCGGTGATGTCCCCAGTGATGTCCCCAGGGTGTCCCCAAGTGTCGGTGTCCCCGCAGGGTTCCTGCTGCTCCTCGGGGCCGGGGCTGTCCCCGTTGGGGTCCCCGTTGGGGTCCCCGGGGGGGACGGAGGAGTGCGAGGCCTGGCTGGGCCCGGGGGGGTCCCCCCGGCCGTGTCCCCACCGAGCCCCCGCCGAGGGAGCGGCCCCGGAGCTCCGAGGTACGGCCGGCCCCAAAGCCCGATCCCGAATCCCGATCCCGAATCCCGATCCCGAATCCCGATCCCCGAATCCTGCTCCCGAATCCCAAATCCTGATCCCGAATCCTGATCCCGAATCCTGATCCCGAATCCCGATCCCGAATCCCGATCCCGAATCCTGCTCCCGAATCCCGAATCCCGATCCCGAATCCCGATCCCGAATCCTGATCCCGAATCCTGCTCCCGAATCCCAAATCCTGATCCCGAATCCTGATCCTGAATCCCGATCCCGATCCCAAAGCCCGATCCCGAATCCCGATCCCGAATCCCGATCCCGAATCCCGATCCCGAATCCCAATCCCAAATCCCGATCCCGAATCCCGATCCCGAATCCCGATCCCAAAGCCCGATCCCGAATCCCGATCCCGAATCCTGATCCCGATCCCGATCCCAAATCCCGATCCCGAATCCTGATCCCGAATCCCAATCCCGAATCCCGAATCCCGAATCCTGATCCCAAATCCTGATCCCGAATCCTGATCCCAAATCCTGATCCGGAATCCTGATCCCGAATCCTGATCCCATATCCCAAATCCTGAATCCTGAATCCCCATCCCAATTCCCAAATCCTGATCCCAAACCCCAAATCCCAAATCCCAAATCCCAAACCCCAAATCCCAAATCCCAAATCCCAATCCCAGATCCGCCGACGGAGGATGACGTGTACTGCCGCTGCCTGTCCCAATCCCAAACCCCAAACCCCAAACCCCAAACCCCAAACCCCAAATCCCAAACCCCAAATCCCAAACCCCAAACCCCAAACCCCAAATCCCAATCCCAATCCCAATCCCAATCCCAATCCCANAATCCCAATCCCAATCCCAATCCCAATCCCAATCCCAGATCCGCCGACGGAGGATGACGTGTACTGCCGCTGCCTGTCGCGCACGCTGTGCCACACGGCCACGCCCGTCACCGTCGGGTTCTACGCGCCCTGCGGCCACCGCCTGGAGTCCCTGCTGGCCAAGGTCACCGGTGCGTCCGGAATCCGGGAATCCGGGAATTGGGAATTTGGGAATCAGGAATTCGGGAATCGGGAATTCGGGAATTTGGGAATTCGGGAATTTGGGGATTCGGAGCAGAGGATTTGGGGTTTTCTGTGCCTGGTGTTGTTTCCTCAGGGTTTGGGGACCCCAAATTTCCATCCCAATCCTTAATTCCATCCCAAATCCCATCCCCAGTCCCAAATCCCATCCCAAATCCCAAATCTCATCTCAATCCCAAATCCTGTCCCAGTCCCAAATTCCATCCCAGTTCCAAACCCCAAACCCCAAACCCCAAACCCCAACCCAAACTCCAAATCCCACCCCAAACCCCAACCCAAACTCCAACTCCCACCCTAAATCCCAACCCCAATCTCCAACTCCCACCCCAAACCCCCGCCCCAAACCCCAAACCACAACCGCAACCCCAAAACCACAAACCCCACCCCAAACCCCAACCCAATCTCCAACTCCCACCCCAAACCCCAACCCCAAACCCCCACCCCCAAATCCCCAAACCCCAAATCCCAACCCAATCTCCAAATTCTACCCCAAATCCCAACTCAAACCCCAACCCCAAATCCCAACCCCAATCTCCAACTCCCACCCTAAATCCCAACCCCAAACCCCAACCCCAAACCC